GTTACTTTCGCGTTACTTTTTAAATATGAGCAGGGCTTGATTGTTTTTAATATAAGAAGTTCTATTTGTAGCAAATGTAAAAGCCCTTTCACACCAAAAAGTGTAATGAATAAACCTCAGGCTGAAGCAAAAGTAAATTCACGCAGGAGAAGAAACACTCTTCAGCAAAAAAAAACAAAGCACAATTGTTAGTTCTCTGAAGTAATTTTTGCTTATTAATATGGTTGAACTGGATCATCAAAGGTCAGCAGCAAAGATATTGGTTAATAAAATGGGATTAGATACATTTGTGTTATTTAACATATTTAATTATTGCAGCAGGTTTGCGTCATATTCTGAGTTTGCATTTCACTGTTTTAATTAATTTTGATGAATACTAAATCTGTTTTTTGTGAGTGGGATGAATTAATGCACATTCACATTTAGTCTAGAACTACAGTAACATCATGTTCACACAGCGCACACAACGCCTCTGTACTCCCGATTTCTCCCAATATGGGGACAGGAGAGCTGTCAGTCAATAAATGGGAAAACAAAGTAACTGGCATTACTTTTTTGAAAAAGTAACTCAGATATTTTCTTGTAAATTAAAAAAGTAATGCGTTACTTTACTAGTTACTTGAAAAAAGTAATCTGATTACGTAACTCGAGTTACTTGTAATGAGTTACCCCCAACACTGACAATGACACACGCATGCATAAATGTACATTAAGCCTGAATGACCTAACAAGTCATGGAAGTTCTCTTGAAAGTTGAAAATTAACGTCATTTCAAAATCATCAACATGACGTTTTTACATGCAGCTTTTAAAAAATGTCTATTGTCCCTGATAAATAGCATTAAAAATGTTAAATTTAGTTTGATTTAAAAGAAAATGCTTACAAAAAAAGTTTTTAAAAATTATTTTTGTTATGGAGAGCTGTAAGTGATAAGTGTAAGTAAGAAAAGAGTCATCAATCATAACTGACAAATCTCATTATGGATCTTTATGGATGGGTTTCTGTAACAATCCAACCGGTGTATTTATTTTAGAGGCACTTGTTCTCTGTAAGATCTCTGGTAATACACAGGTGGTGATTGAATGTGTACATACGTGTTGGAGTGTGTAATTGGGTATTATTGTATGTTTGGGAAGGGAGCAGAACTGCCCCATGGCGAAGGGTGACATTTCACAAAATAAAGGCCATGAATTCTAAATACGAACAGATGGTGTGACCTCATATCATCCCATTTAATGACAGACAAACATACATAAACATACGCAGTTACATAGATATTGATTATTTCTTTTTAGACTATATATATATATATATATATATATATATATAAAAAAAAAATTGTATATCAGTGATACTTAAGAATTTAGAGTGACAGGTGGCATAGTCTAAAGTTAATCGAAATATAATAATTTATGTAACAAATCTAAAGCTGATGATACACAGGGCAAATTTTTTTGAGCAATGTTGCTTGGGCACTTTCCCACTGAGAATGGGTAACACATTTCTATATGGATACTTTAAATCAGTCGTGGGCCCTGTGTCTCACCTGGTTGCTCGTTGACGCCAACATTAACCAAAGTTGCCCAGCAATATTGCTCAAAAGTTGCCCTGTGTATCATCAGCCTAATAGTTGATTATTATTATTTATTATTGTGGTTTGTGGTATAAAGCGACAGGTACCCTAATCGTGGAAAGTGTCTAATGAGTTCTGACCAACTGATGTTTCTCTTTCTCTCTCAAGTGTATGGGAGGGCTGGTAAAGTTTTTAGCTTTTTAGCTACATGATGCGTGTTTTCTAGCCTGGGGCTTGTTTATCTAGGATTTGTGAGAATCCTTGTACTAGGCAGGGATCGGGGAAAGCACTCATATCACTCTGTGCCCTGGTATACATCCCCAGGTGTGGCTAGAGGATGTTTTCCTTTGAGAGAGTCCTCAGCCTGCTCTTCTGTCTGTGCTACTGAAAAACAGATGAGAAACAAATAGAATCTAGACCCAAGCTCATGTGTTTCATGACATCAATAGCAAGCACCAGCAAAATCATTGAAACTACAATTTAGGAAAGAACAGCCAAGTATACTAGCATGTTTGTTTACTCCGTTTTAAGGGAGTTTTTTGTCAGTGGAAAGTGTTTTTAAGTGGAGAGATTTTCATTCCACACATCACTGAATGAATCACCCAAAACGTTAGTTGGTATATCATTCTTTTTTTTTTTCTTAAAAATAACATGCATTCATTCATTATAAACAATAAGATTAGTAATGTGCAATAGGAAAGTATGTAGTCAAGTATGGCTTAAAAGAAAAAGAAGTCTAAGATTTTTTGCATGACAATTAAGCACACCTTCCCCTGTTTTCATTCATGTAAATAAAATACAAATTTAAAATAGTATGTTATTGTAATTATAATTGTATATTTATTGTAATGTAAATATACAAATAATATATAAATAATTCTAAGTATGTATTCATTATGTTAGTATTTACTTTAAACTGATTAAATATAAATTATTGCATTGAGAATCTCATGAAATTCGCCATTGGAAAAAATTAGGATGACATAATTTTTTTTAAATAAAATTTCCAAAGAGGTAATAATAATAATCATGAAAATAATGTTAAAAATAAAAAAAAATTAAATATCCTAAAACAGGCTGTGTTTTATGTACAAATGCAAATATGTCATCATTGTCTTTTTTCATCTTTTTTTTTCTTTTTTATTTTCCGGTTAATTTTTACATAGAACATGTTTTTGCGAGATCCACCCCCACTTAAACATTAAAAATTGCACTGTTTTTCTGTCCGATTTAGTGCAGTTTAGGTAATAGCGACTCTCTCGCAGGTGTTTCCTGCTGTAGTTATTTATCTGGGAAAAACAACAACAACAAAACATATCTCTCCTAGGCCTTTCAGTGGGTAAATTACCCAGGCTCATAGAGTCAAATGTGTTCCCAGCAGAGGACACATACATCTTCCTAAGATCTCAGCCGAGTATGTGATTATACTCATCAGCACTTATTGCATTCTGCCATGCAGGGCACAGTCAAAGCTCATGATACTAATATGCTTTTTAGCCATCCTTTCCTATAACATTTACACTGGAATCGACATGGAGACCATCTCGTCAGATACTGGTGATACTGCTGATGCTCCTTATGGCTCCTTAATGAGCATTGAAGCTCAAAGGAGAGTCTGAGAGGGGCTTCTTGACAAATGTCAATGGGCTCAATCTCAGCTCAGTCCACCTCTGAGCATCGATTACTCAGTCAGCATCCCAGAGTCTCGGCAGTCGGGTGTATCCTACTGGAGTACTGCATTAAACAGTGGCCAGGCATGAAGTAGCAGTTTATCAGTCAGAGGTGAATAGCAATCGATGCGGGCATAAGGATGGATATGGAAATGCTTTTGTAGGCAGACCCGGCGAGTCGGAGGCAGTTGAACGATGATAAATCAATCTTGCGTGTTATGACAGTGAAAGAGCGCATGATTGTGGAGTCTGTTTGTGTGCGTGTCGCTTCCTTCTGGACACAGGATCAGCTTGCAGTTGCTGTGGTCAGTGGATTTGTGGCGAACCCTGCTGCCTTTGATCAGCAGACTGGAACCTGGTGGAGAGAGAAAGAAAGAGAGAGAGACTGAGGTGAACAGGGGCCATAACCCCTCTCAGGGATAAAATGACAGGCTGGTGAAGGGAATAAATCCCCAGCGCTCACGGAAGCTTTAGTGATGGACAGAAAATGTGTCTGACGTGACATGAGTGTCCTCAGGAAAACTACAGTAAGAATCTGTGACAGTTCAGCATCTCGCAGGTCTCTGTCAGGGCCTGAGTCAGCAAACACACACACACACACACACACACACCTCCAATGAGCATGGTGCAGATGGAGAAGATCTTCTCTGCGTCTGTGTTGGCAGAGACATTTCCGAAGCCCACGCTGGTCAGGCTGCTGAGGGTGAAGTACAGCGCTGCAATGTAGATACTCCGCAAAGACGGTCCACTGCTCAGCGTTCTGTTGACCGCTCCCGTGCTCACCTCCTCGTATGGAGACTCCAACCGCTTCCCGAGCTCATGCAGCCAACCTAAGAGAGCAAGACAAAGAAGAAAATGAGAGATCTAATTAAAATCTCACACTGAAATCTGTTTATGTATCAGAATCAGAATCAGAATGAGCTTTATTGCCAGGTATGTTTACACATACGAGGAATTTGTTTTCGTGACAGAAGCTTCCACAGTGTAACAGAATGACAGTGACAGAACAAAAAACACAGATAATAAAAAATAGAACAAGTAAATAAGGAATAAAAATATATAAATTGACAGTTGTATGTGCAGGTATATTACAATAGACAGTTTTTGTATGTACAGGTACTGTATATTATGCGCAAATTTGAGGTGTAGACTGAGTATGAGTGTTAGATATGAAAGCCCGGCAGACTCAACGCGCTGTCCGGAATGGCGTCTTTCAGTATCAGTTTCATATGTGTCCATATGGTGGAAAATTAGAATGCACTGCAATGACACAATGGTTAAAGGAATTGTTCATCTAAAAAAGAAATTTCTGTCATTATTTACTCAACCGTAAGACTCTCTTTCTTTTGTGGAACACAAAAATAGCTTTTTTACAATGTGTTCACACTACTCCTTTGAATACAATGACCTGTTTCAGGGCTGTTAAGTGGCCCTCCAGTGAGCTGTTAACCTCTGCAACAGGATCATAGAGAAACTTTTTTTTTTTTAAATACAACCTTTCTGCAAATTTGGTTATGTTTTGGTTATGTTTATTGGTTAAGGTTTTGGGCGTGTTCAAATTAATCACATTTCAATAATTTAATATTTTAAACAAAAATGTAATATAAAATTTTACATGCACGTTTGTTAAAAAGTTTAGGGTCAGTAAGACTTTTTTTATATGATTAAAAAATGCATTAAATGATGCATTAAATTGATCAGAAGTGACTGTGAAGACATTTATAATGTTACCAAAGATTTCTGTTTCATATAAATGCTGTTCTTTTTAACTTTATATTCATCGATGAATTCTCAAAAAAGTGTCACAGTTTACAGAAAAATATTGAGCAGCACAACTGTTTCTAGCATTGAAAATAATAGGAAATGTATCTGGAGCACCAAATCGACATATTAGAATAATTTCTAAAGGATAATGTGACACTGAATACTAAAGTAATGGCTGCTGAAAATGTAGCTTTGTTATCACAGGAATAAATTACACTTTAAAATATATTAATATAAAAAACAGTCATTTTAAATACTAATAATAGTTATCTATATTATTTTTATTTACCATGTTTTTGAAATATTACATGCAGCCTTGGTGAGCACGAGAGACTTTTGAACAGTAGTTTGTCTTTTTTTGTGAATTTAGAAAGTAATTCCCTTTGTTACATTTATCTAAATTTATTTAACATAAATAGTTTTAGAGATGCCAGTTTATTTATCAATGTGAAGTTTAGTTTAAATCTAGTTTCTATTGTACAAAAAAGTAGAATGAACAATCTTGAAATTATCTGTTATATTCCACTTAAGAAAGAAAATCATATGAATTTAGAACAACATGAGGGTGAGTAAATGATGACAGAATTTATACCATTCTGACCCAAGTTTCCATACTGAAACAACAGTTGTTCACAGCACTGCATTAACAAAAAAAGTACTATGTAAACTATGTAAACACTATGAATAACATTCATTCTTCACCATAGTATTTCAGTCCGAATCATTGATGTAACACGGTACTGCCAAATTTGTACATTTTTGCAAGGACAAAGTTTCATGAAAACAGTTCTTCACTAACAGCAATTGTTTGGAAAGCAGTTCATCAAACACGTCGCTTTCTTCATGAAACAATCTTTGTGTTTGCTGATAAGGAGGGACCCATCAGTTGCCACATTCTACACTATCTAAAACAGGGTACCAGAGAGGAGATTCCAGCTCAGTGTTGCTATAGTAACTGCCCATCAGAGCAGGCCGGGGGTCAGTGGTCGGATGCCGAGGGGAAGCAGCAGCTTTCCATCAATACTGATCGGGGACCGGGCGGTGGGAACCAACTTTCACAGCAATCCGTCATTACGGACCATAGAGCAGCACACTGGGCCTAATTACAGTCCCTCCTGCAGTCAAGATGGAGAGAGAGGCCCGCGGCACGACATCTGGGTGACTGCTTTGTTTGCCATTCGCTCACTCTTTCACTCACTTGGCTGCTTTCTGTCCCTGGTGCATTCTTCCCATCTTCCTTCTCCTCCACTATCACTGTCCATAACACCATCTAACAGTGTCAGGCTTATCGCTTTTCTTCTATAAATTCTGCCTTCCATTATCCCTTGATGTCTTCATCGCTCTCTCTCTCCGTCTCGCTCCGAACACATCAGATTAAATCAATTCATATTATGTCCATAATTCAACTTTAACAAATCCATTCAAAGCCGAAATGAAGTATTTCAATCAGATTCAATTCCACTTTGATTACAGTTAAGAGACCCAGACTTTCACAGAATCAATTAAAACACTGTTCAATACTGCTTCAGTTTAATAATTAAAAAATTAAAGGGATAGTTCATCTCAAAATGAATGTCGTTCATTTTCATGTCATTCCAAACCTGGTTGACTTTCTTTCTTCTGTGTAAACCAAAAACAAAAACAGAGAAGATTTAAAAAAATGTTTCAGTGTTTTTTTGGCCATACAATAAAAGTCAATAGGGTCCAAAATAACTTGAACAACACTTCTATTGTATGGACAAAAACAGTTGAAACATTCTTCAAATTATCTTCTTTTGTGTTCCACAGAAGAAATAAAGTCATACAGGTTCGGACTTGAGGGTAAATGATGCCATTACTTGGCTATAGTTTGAAACAGGGCGTAATAATGGAAACTGAAAAACTTTCCTGTGGCAACATTTCTGTAAAATATTATTACATTGCTTACTGCACGTTTTGCAACGCTTTCAAATTAAAATGTAGTGAGTGACGCTAAAAGTATGTTAAGTTTTAGATCAAACACATGAATGTTTTTGAATAAATCTGGAAATGCTAGATGTTGTACATTTCGGAAATGTTCTGTGAGTAGTGCTAAAAGGTTATTGCTCTATCGTGATTAAAAATAACATAACACCGACAATAAAACCTACCTTAAACCTAACTGACAATATTAACAACACAAAATGTAAGTTAAAAGCACATTGGCTGAATCATCAACGCCATTTTAGCTTGCTTCTGCAAGTCTCTGTGCTCTTTTATTTAACTTTGTGACTAGTGTTTCACAGGACACATACCTGAGCGCAAGTGCAGTGCTGTATCAGGTGAGCTACCGAGCAAGTTTACTATGTCAGAAAAGACATACTGTGCATATTGCACCTGTTGTGTCATGCAAAAATAAAATGTGCTTTTGTTTATAAAACATGTTCCATGGTAAAAGTGTTAAAACAGTACTGTGCAAGGAGCCTATGTTGGTGTTTTACTGCTACTAGTGTTCATTTCAGCTGGAAACTGCAGGGAATTGTATGTATAGGAGGTTTTGCTAAAATGCAGGTAGAAGCATGTTTTTCTACAAGCCTAGGTTTTATCTCACATTCTGTCTGTGAGTCAATGAGTCAATTTTGTGTGCTCGTCTCACCAATATCCCAGGTGTCTGCGTTGCTCTCCACCTCCTTCTTGCCAATGATGTACCAGATGCAGGCCATCCAGTGAGCCAGCAGTGCAAACATGGACATGAGCAGGGTCAGCACCACCGTACTGTGCTGGGAGTAGCGGTCCATCTTCTGCAGCAGACGCAGGAGTCTCAGCAGGCGTACGGTCTTTAGCAGATGGACCACTGACACCTGGCAGAGGGGAAAGGGGAAGCACATTAACTGTCGAGGATTTGCTCTGTATGCAAGTGCATTTGAGGTTTGTGAAGGGCACGTGCCTGTCATGTTAAATGAGTGCAGTAAATCCAAATCAGTTAAAACCTAATTAACACAACAGGATGGAAGTCCTTAGATTCCATTAATAAATCTTTGCTAGAGTACTGCAATGGTACTGTAGAGTATAACCATCAAGTCAAAACCATATTCATATAATTGTACTTTTAGCAAGTGAATACAGAGGGAAAATGTACAATAAAACAAACAAAAACATCTCTTAGCAGATGTTTAGAGGTCACGGATGTCTTGAATAATGGTGTAGCATGCATGTACAAGTTCTGAGACAACTGGGATTCAAATATTTAAGAGATCATCATTAGACTGAGAAACATTTGGGCCAATTATGGTGGTATAAAAATCTTTTCTCTCTTCTTCTCTCCGTCTCAGTCATGCAGAACCACATTTTCTCAGGTGAAAGGAAATAAACCGCCCACTAATAAACAAGATAATAAACCACAAAGAAATTGACTGCAGCTGATGGATATGAATAATAAAAACATACAAACAACAGAGAACAAAGCAGAATGCCTAAGTATGTGTGTTTTTCAGTATAACAATCATTATCTTCCTCTTTTCTGGAGGTCTGGAGGACTGTGTTCTCCATCACTGTCAAACTGGCAAAGAACAGTCAAATGTATCATTCAGGGTTTAAAACAGACATAAATAAAACAGAGATACCAGCCAAAACATTCCATGGTTTAATTTAAATTCTAAAAACAATAGTCTAACTGCTGATAATGTAAATGATGCAAGCAATTCAAATATATATAAAATGCTTACACGTGTCAAAACGTGCATATTTTTAACAATGTTTACATCAATACACAATTTACCATCAGAGGTTTATTTAGGAGATTTGTTTTCTCCTATGACTCAGTGACACCAAAATGATATTATGGGGAGCAAAATCACATCTTCACATTTTGGTGAGTGCTGCACAAAGCTAATGGCTCTAAAATACGACTGAATTTGTCACAAAGCAAGAAAAAATATCCCAATTTTATATGGACAAAACATTTTTCTAAAGATAATGTAAAATAGAATTTCATGATCAGCAAAATATATTAAACATTTGATTTTTCCGTGCCCATGTTTACATTACATTACCTTACTAATATTAATCAATACATCATCAATAATAGTGACATGTAAGTACTAGGAACTCAATTTATGCAGTACTGTAAGTGCATGCAGTTCATCAGTATTTCTTATTAATTTATCAGTAAATTCACAGTCACATAAAAAGTGTAAAACCAAAATATATATTCAGAAAGTTAATGTAGACCCTGCAGACATGTTATTCTATATATTCAGCAGGGTGAAGGAATAAATTCCTTTTATGTGTAATGTTTTATGTATTAAAGCAGGTTTAAAGTAAATGAGCAAGTGAGAGAGTTTTAAATAGCCCATATATATTCCATAACTGTAGACTCATTATGACTACATACATAAAAATAACACTTTGTATTAACCTGAACACGAACTTTCACACATGCACACTACCAGGTCAGTAACAGATGCGCACACACTGCTATTAGATCAGTTCGTCTAGACCTTCAGGCGGTAACTAGTCAGCAATATTCATCACAGCCTCTTATTATAATCAGACAGACAAACCCTATGAGAACCAAGCCTTTCACGTCCCTGCAGCATTAAATAATAATCCACATTGTAATGGCCACAATCTTTCACTTGACAATCAAATATTAATAAACATCAGGAGATCATGGTCTCAGAAGCAAACCCAATGAACATTAATGTCACTGGAGAAACAAAAAGGCTGAACTTAACAGCTGGTTGAAAATTAGATAAGGAGGGTGAAAATGGAGGTGGATAGGGTAAGGCCACGGCAGGGGTTCATATATTGAGCTTTATGTGCTAATGTGTCAACGCGTATTACCAACTAATACACTCATACTGCTCACAATGTGTAGGTGGCTGAAGAGGGAAAGGAAGTGACAGGAGGGAAAGGGTAATGACAGAGAGTAAAAGGAACGGAATTGAAAGGAATAAAAAAGAAAGGAAAGGGGAGGAAAGGATAAAGAGAGGAAAGAATAAAAAGAAAGGAAAACAAACGAAATGGAATTGGACGAGGACAGGGAAAGTGAAAGAGAAGAAAATGACAGGAAAAGAAAAGTAAATGAATAGAAATTGGCTAGGAAAAGGAAATAAGAGGAAAAGGAAACTCAATGGCAAATGGCCAGGAAAGGAAAAGTAAAAAAAAAAAAAGAGGAAAAGTAAGGGAATGGATGTGGGAAAGGAAAGGAAAGGAAAGGAAAAGGGAAAAAAGAGGATAGAAGAGGAAAGGAAAATTAAAAGGAAAGGAATTAGCCATGATAGAAAAAGGAAATCGAAAGAAGAAAGGAGAGGGAAGAAAAAAAATAGAACGAGGAAGGAAAAGGAATGGAAATTGGCCAGGAAAAAAATAAGCAAGGAAAAGAAAAGGAAAAGAAAGGAAAATGGCCAGTATATGCAAAAATAAAGAAGAAGAAATGAGTGTAAAGACAAATTAAAAGTAAAAGAATGGAAATTGGGTATGATTAAAAAAAATAGAAAGAGGAAATGAGAGGAAAGAAAAATAAATTGGAAAAGGAAATGAAAAGGAATGGAAATTGGCCAGGAAAAAAAATCAAAGAGGAAAGGACAGGGGAAAGCAACAGGAATCAAACGCGAAAAGGAAATCGAGAGGAAAATAGGGGAGAGTAAAATAAAATAAACATCATTCTTCACTTTTGATGTTTCTGTGTGTGTGTGTGTGTGTGTGTGTTGTGCAGCTGAAGGGCAGTTGTGAAGGGATACCAGAGGAGCAGAGGTGCAATCTGTAATTGGAGCAGATTTAAGGGAACATCTCAGAGACAACAAGGTCTGTATTACAGAAACACTCAAGTAGAGTCCACTGCATTTCACTCTTCCTCTCTTAATAAGCCTCAGTGGATTTCAAGCGCTCTTTCGTTGTGTGTTGCCGTACAGAGGGATGCAGGGTTTCATTACTGCATGTGTCATCACTGTAAGTGTGTGTGTGTCCAAGTGGCACTGATCGATTCCGCCAGTCTGGATTGGCCAGAAAAGCTGACTGTCTTTTTCTGCGAATTAAAACCAGGAGCCCGTGACCCTTGCTTTTGTAGAGGAGTCGTCAGAGGCAGTGTCAGCCAATTTTAGAGCCTGTTATACATCTTTATTTGTACCTGAACCCAGGATCACTCATTAAAAGTTCTACATCCATGATGTCATCAAAAGGACTTCACGGTCCACCCACTCAGTGTCACCCAGCTGCTGCTCAATATTTAGTTTTACAATTAAGGAAGAAAGTGCAAAACAAATCACTGAGCTAAATACAGTGCTGGAGGGGCTAAAAAAGAAATGTCAGAAAGTTAGAGACTAGGCATGTCTGTCCAAGCAGGCCCAGGTTTTTTGCATTTTCTGCTGTTAATCAGAGGAAGCTCTTCTACAATAAATGGATTTCAACATGGTAAAATGCACTGAAAGTAATTTACTATTATACATTTACATATTTGGCATACACTTTCATCTTGCATTGCATTCAAGGCATACATTTTATCAGTTCATGCGTTCCTGAAAACTATGGGATTACATCTCTGCCACAATTCTGCGCGCGAAAGATCATATTTTGAGCGCGCAAAAGTGCATTTTGCACACGCGCGAACTGAGTTTTGTGGAGAAAATGTTTTGAAAAAGTATTTTGAGCGCACGAAAATCAATTTTGCATTTAAAATACATTTTTGGATTTGTGCAGACCTTCTCATTTGCGCGTGCAATGTTTCACTAGCTTGCTCCCTTGATGCCTGCCCTCAGTGCTCTCTAAATGCCAACAGCTCGCTTGCTCAACACAACCCAGCGTTACAATATGCCAAATTAAATTCTGATTGGCTGCCTTGACAACCAATCACAACATTCCTTGCATTACCTCGACAGCAGAAGAGGAAAAATACAGTGCATGCATAATTATTATGTTGATATTCTGATCATATTTTTTTCCAAGCACATTTTACCAATTCCAAACGACATCAATCTTAATAACTACTATTAATCTTGTATTTAATCATTTATAATTGATATATAATTATTCATGAAAGCTGGAAGTGAAAAATGTCTTATATTCAGGTGTGCATAATTATTAAGCAGATTTTCTTTTACAGATAAAATTATCCAAAAAAGAGATTTAACTCGGACTGAAAGTCAAAAATTATTAAATGCCCATGAGAAATATTAAAAACTAATACAATACTAGAAATTGCAAAGTTAATGCATAACCATTGGACAGCAAAATGCTCAGTGGGTCAGCAGGGTTAGTCAAAAGCATGTGGAGAAGAAAAGATGCATGTTAACTGCAAAAGAATTAGGAATTAAGGTGAAGAATTAGGTGTGAAATCACCAGGAACCATTTAGTCTCCAGCGCCACCATTTTCCAGAACTCCAATCTACCTGGAGTCTCCAGAAGTACAAGGTGTCAGGTTCTCAGAGACTTAGGTTAAGTATAGAATCCTAAAAAATGACCCCTACTTAATAAGAATCACATACTGAAGTGTAGTAAAATACTTGAAGACTGATTTTATATATATCCATGAGCTCATCCACCCGCAGCATTGGGTAGCCGTCGAACACCGAGACTTCGTTAAGGCGGCAGAAATCATTGCATAAGTGGAGGGTGCCATCTGGTTTTGGTACCATAACGATAGGGCTGGACCAAGGGCTGTTAGATGGTTCAATCACCCCTAACTTCAGCATTTGTTGGATTTCCTCCTCAATAGCCTGCCGACGAGCCTCTGGGACTCGGTAGGGCCGTTGCCTGACGATGGTTCCTGGTGATGTGTGGATCTCGTGATGGAGGACCTGGGTCCGCCCGGGGATCGGGGAGAACACATCGGGGAACTGGCCAACCAGGTGCTGTAGCTCGGCCTTCTGAGCTGCCGACAGCTGTGGGTTGACGTCCATGACCACTGTCTCCACGGTGGTGAGGGCGGCGAGCTGGTCTCTTGTCCCCACCCACTGTCTCCACGGTGGCGAGGGCGGTGAGCTGGTCCCTTGTCCCCACCCATTTCTTCAGCAGGTTAATGTGATATAGCTGGTCTGCCTTCTGCCGTCCCGGCTGGCGGATAAAGTAAGTGATGGGACCGATTTTCTCCGTGACGGTATACGGGCCTTGCCAGCTGGCCAGGAACTTGCAGGCCGAATTGGGGACAAGGACCATCACTCGGTCCCCCGGCTGGAATTCTCGAGGTTGGGCGGCTCGGTTGTAATGTCGCTGCTGCGCCTGCTGAGCCTTGGTGAGGTGCTCCCGGACTAACGGCATGACCCGGTCGATTCGTTCCCTCATTTCTTGCACATGTTCGATCACGGAGCGGTGGGGCGCGGGCTGTTGCTCCCACGCTTCTCTTGCCACATCCAGCAGCCCCGAAGAGCGTCCGAAGAGCAGCTT